CATACATAGCTTTAAGCAGAGGTATGATAAAGCTCACGGCTCAGGGAGAGTGACCTAGTAGCGATCAGTGAAGAGGCGGGGCCAGGAGCTCGGACTCGACCCCCGCAACCTCAACTAGGTGAGTACAACTAGGTGAGTACACACACACACACACAGGATGTTCCAGAGATGGGACACAGAAACAAGGGGTCACAATTGGAAGCTGAAGACTCAGATGAGTCAAAGTATTTCTTCAGCCTCAGAGTTGTTAGGAAGTGGAATAGTCTGGCAAGCGATGTAGTGGAGGCAGGAACTATACATAGTTTTAAGACGAGGTATGATGAAGCTCATGGAGCAGGGAGAGGGAGGACCTAGTAGCGGTCAGTGAAGAGGGGGGGCCAGGAGCCGAGTCTCGACCCCTGCAACCACGACACTAGAAGACAGAAGAACCAGAGGTGACATGATTACGAGGTACAAAATAATGAGAGGAATTGAGAATGGAGAGGGAGGAAGAATGAGAGGCAAGTCTCAGAATCCACGCATAACTTAAAGAAGAGGCACGACAGGGCTCATGTAGCCAGAAAAGAGTGAAATCGGAAGGGAGAGACGAGGCCAGGAGCTACCACACGTCCTCTAGTAGGTCCAACTCTAGACCTACCCTCACTTCCTTAACACTCACAACAATCTCATACCCGTCACTCCCCTCCCCAGAACTATATCTATTACCAGTCAATATAAAGACTACATGCATGGTACATTTAAAACTAGGGAACCCACCATCAAACGGCAGGAGACCAAGACTGGCGGTAGGAACTGAGTCAGAGTGAGATGATTGAGGTAGCTCCTGAGGTTGAGGAAGGTGCTGGAGGTAGCACTTGAAGCAGAGTGAGGTGCTGGAGGTAGAACCTGAGGTTGAATGATGTGCTGGAGGTAGCACCCGAGGCAGAGTGAGGTGTTGGAGGTAGTACCTGAGGCTGAATGAGGTGCTGGAGGTAGCACCTGAGGCAGAGTGAGGTGCTGGAGGTAGCACCTGAGGCAGAGTGAGGAGCTGGAGGTAGCACCTGATGCTGAGTGAAGTGTTGGAGATAGCACCTGAGACTGAGTGAGGTGCTGGAGGTATCACCTGAGGCTGAGTGAAGTGCTGGAGGTAACACCTAACTAATTACTCTAATAAAACCTAATTAATTCCATTATTTTACTAATTATCACCAATATAATTAGGATGGAATGAAGGAAGAAGCTCCCCAAACATTAGCACAGTGAGCTGACTGGAGCACTGGTGGGAGGGAGCCTGGAACACCAGATCACTGGTGGAAGGGAGCCTGGAACACCAGATCACTGGTGGGAGGGAGTCTGGAACACCAGATCACTGGTAGGAGGGAACCTGGAACACCAGACCACTTGTGGGAGGGAGCCTGGAACACCAGACCACTGGTAAGAGGGAGCCTGGAACACCAGACCAATGGTAAGAGGGAGCCTGGAACACCAGACCACTGGTAGGAGGGAGCCTGGAACACCAGATCACTGGTGGAAGGGAGCCTGGAACACCAGACCACTGGTGGGAGGGAGTCTGGAACATCAGACCACTTGTAGGAGGGAGCCTGGAACACCAGATCACTGGTGGGAGGGAGCCTGGAACATCAGATCACTGGTGGGAGGGAGCCTGGAACATCAGATCACTGGTAGGAGGGAGCTTGGAACACCACATCACTGGTAGGAGGGAGCCTGGAACACCATATCACCGGTAGGAGGGAGCCTGGAACACCAGATCACTGGTGGTGGGAGGGAGCCTGGAACACCAGATCACTGGTGGTGGGAGGGATCCTGGAACACCAGATCACTGGTGGGAGGGAGCCTGGAACACCAGATCACTGGTGGGAGGGAGCCTGGAACACCAGACCACTGGTGGGTGGAAGCCTAGAACGCCAGATCACTGGTGGGAGGGAGCCTGGAACACCAGATCACTGGTGGGAGGGAGCCTGGAACATCAGACCACTGGTAAGAGGGAGCCTGGAACACCAGACCACTGGTAAGAGGGAGCCTGGAACGCCAGATCACTGGTGGGAGGGAGCCTGGAACACCAGACCACTGGTAAGAGGGATCCTGGAACACCAGATCACTGGTGGGAGGGAGCCTGGAACACTAGATCACTGGTAGGAGGGAGCCTGGAACACCAGATCACTGGTAAGAGGGAGCCTGGAACACCAGATCACTGGTGGGAGGGAGCGTGGAACACCAGACCACTGGTAAGAGGGAGCCTGGAACACCAGATCACTGGTGGGAGGGAGCCTGGAACACCAGATTACTGGTGGGAAGGAGCGTGGAACACCAGATCATGGTAGGAGGGAGCTTGGAACACCAGACCACTGGTAGGAGGGAGCCTGGAACACCAGAAACCTGATAACCTCTCAGCAAACTTTCATTATCCTCCTTCTCACTTCATTCTTTCTTCCCTCACCTTTCCCTTCCTCTCTATTTCCCCTTTCTTACATCCAACATTTAGTGGGCCACTAAATGTACAGAAATAAATGACGAAGAACAACGATAAAAAGTAAAGTGAGAGAGTACATGGAAAAATATAAGAGTACATGGAAAAATATAAGAGTACATGGAAAAATATAAGAGTACATGGATCATGTGAGTACATGAGTCATATGGAAGCTCGTGGAAGTACGTGGATTAAAAGTGACTGCATGTTAGTACTTGGGAGTACATGGGAATGCATGGAAATAAACAGATGTTTCTAGTATATCTTGGAGTCTGGAATAGTAGTTGCTGAGAGGTTAGTGCTCACTAGAAGACAGTAACAAGTGTACTTAATTATGAAGGGATGGTCACACTGGTGGCCAGCTCAGTAGATGAACGGATCCTGAAAGTGACACGATAGAGACCATAGTGGGAGAGGATTGAAGGGTGATCAACCCTTGTATGCTCAACTAGGTGAGTACGTACACCACACACACACACACACACACACACACACACACACACACACACACACACACACACATGATAGGGTCAATTACGGCACCATCTGCCTCTCTCTCCCCCAAAAATTGAATCGTGCCTTTTAGAATTGATTTCTCGGAGAGTGCCTATAATGACAAGCCAGGGAAGGGGAAGGGGAGGAGGGAGGGGGAGGGGAGAGGGAGGAGTAAGAAGGAATTCGAGGAAGATGAAATATAAGGGAAGAAAAAAAGTAAGCAAGGAGAGGGAAGGAAAATGAAAGAATAAAGTAATGAAGGAGGAGAGGATAGACGGGAGAGTTAAGGATGAACAGTAAATTCTCGTCATACTTTATGTAACCACCTAAATCTGTGTGCTTAATGACCCGCGGTGTTGTAGGCTCGCTCCTCCGTCTCCGTTTAGATGACTTACCACCAGGAATGATGGCGGGGAAGAGATAAGAGGGAATGTGTGGACGGAAAGGATGGAAAATGACCCATTAAATGACTCCAAAAAATAGGTGGAGGAAAGAGAAGGGAGAAGGAGAGAAACGAGGACAAGGAGGAGGGAAAGAGACATTATCTAAGTCTCCCAGATCACTCAATAGCCATCCAGAGTTCCACTCCCCTTGGTAATGGTCCACCTCATTTCCCCTTTCCCTTTACCCCTTGACCCTTGTGCCTCCGTTTACCCCTTTACGAGGACACGTGTGTCGGCGCTGCATACATTTACACTATTAACACAGGAGCAAGGAGGGAGACCTGGGATGGAGGAGTTAGTGGGTTGATTTATTGCTTAGTGGGTTGGTTGACTGATTAATTAGTTGGTTGGAAGGTTAGTTAACTGGTTAGTTAACCCGTTAGTTATTTAGGTTTAAGTTATTTAGACTACATCTGGGTCACTGAGGTTGCAAGTCACCTCCTTGCTATTGTCAAGAATATTGTAATCCCTTGAATATAGATGCAAGTTGACTCAGTGTATATACACTGAGTCACACCTCCTCTGAGTGTATATACATTGAGAGAGTCACACCTCCTCTCAGTGTATATAAGCTGAGAGTCACACCTCTCTGTGTATAAAAAATTAATATATACCTTTTACTGTATATTCACGTAAATATACATATCTCAGAGGATGTATAAGCTAATACACACCTCTTTATATATATGCACTGATATACACACCTCTCAGTTTATAAAAAATTAATACACACCTTTCGGTGTATATACACCGCTGTTGCTAGTAAAAATCCTTCAGTTACCAATAATGTTCTTTGAAATCCGATTTTTTTTTCATATCTGCGTAACCACACGCCAGTACAACGAAAAATCTGGTCAACACAGACCTTCATAGCTTTTCCCCATCAGTCTAATCAATACGAAATCGAAACAGAAGGGAACACAGTGCGATTAGTGGCATCGTCACACAGTGTACCATCACCGAAGGCTAATAAAGAGATTTAATGAGATAAAGTCCCATATAACCATGATTTGTTTAGACACACATTACATACGCAGTGAGCAGCTCTCGGGTATTTTGTCTAGAGTGTAATTGTTTAATTGTGTCGCCCTGTGGTACCTCCCTCCTTGGTAAAAGACATTCTCTGTGTTAAAACTATCCGTGTCGAAAAGATGTAGGAGAGCTTTTGGGGAAGAAAATCAAGAGAAGGAGAGCGTGAGAAGAGAACTTGAAAGAAACACATGGTAGCCTCGCCCTATCTTCTTTCACAAATAGCATAATTCTGTGTAATACAATTCTGTTTTCCTCTGTGCTTCTCACCTGCGGCATTTTTTTCATTTCCATTCACAAGTGACTTTATTTTCCTGTCCTTCAAAGCCTCGATATTTTCTCTGTTCTTTTTGTTATGATACCAGCGAGAATTTAACACATTTTTCGATTCTCTAGCAGTGTAAATAGGTTTCTAACATTCAACATTTTAACTTATAATCCTCTTTTCGTTTTTTGTTGTACATTTCATGAGATAATAGAGGGAATATAGCTCATTCCAATTCTCTTTCACAATGAGTATCGTTTTCTGTTACTCAACACCATCTCTCTCTCTCTCTCCCTCACAGGAAATCTCTCTTCCTGTGGCAGGATGCACTTCCTGCCGATGTGGGTGCTGGCGGTGGTGGGTTGGGTGGCGGCTGCTGCAGCCCCTGGAGTCCTCCCTAGGAACCCTGAGGACGGGGAGGACCTAGGTCCCGCCCTCAGGGACCTAGCAAGACGCAAGAGAGGCAATGCTAAGTCCAGCATCCCATACTCTAACTACAGACCCGTGGCTGGTATTCACAGGTAAGAAACATATGTAAATATGGAGGATGGAGATTAACAGTGTAAAATATCGTCACAGTGGAAAATTACACACAAATGCAGTATAAGGCGATCCTTTATTGACTACGTTTCGCCCACACAGTGGGATTTATCAAGTCACAAACAGATCTACCTGAGGACAGTACATGGGTGTATATATATAGGGAGAATAGTGACGAAGTCAGGCGAAGAATATTCTCCACCTGATTTTCTGTGATGCGGTGAACCCGTGTAGGGTGTTCAGCGCCAGTAGTGGAGGCTTGGGCCTCCGTCAACTAATTAGTTTAGTGGTGTTGAGTGGTAGCATTCATGAAGGTATTCCGGTGCTTCATGGTATTGCATTCATCTGGTGTTTGCAATGAGTCGAGTCACAATACTATTATAATCACGAGGAAGCGCTAAGCTTGAGGTGAAGGAAGTCGAACAACAACTCCTGGCAAAAAATGACGAATAGTGTATGGTGCTGTGGTAATGCAGATGAAAGCTAGATGACGTTTCGATCCTCTCTGCACCATTATCAAGTCGAGAATGACTTCTCCACGAGGGATCGCAACTAGTTTAGTTTTGATAAATTAGACACATGTGCAACTCTTGGGTATCTTTTTTGAGGAAACGTTTCGCCACACAGTGGCTTCATCAGTCCATACAAAGGAGAATCTTGAAGAACAAGAGGAGAATGAGGTAATCAGTCCCTCAACCTTGAGTCGATGTGGTCAGTCCATCAATCTTGAATAGAATACGGCATACGTGCTGAGAAGGAGCTTATAAACCGTTGGCAGGAGAGGTGCAGCAGTCATAGGTCGTGTAACATTTGTTCAATGTTGAAGTAGGTCGTGCCCAAGAATTAGGCAAGCGAAGAATTCCCAAGTATTAAGATCCCAAGAAGTTGCAGTGTCTGACAGGTTTGTAGATGAATGGTTCAGAGAACCGACATGTTTTTATCAGGTCTTTTTGGGTAGGTTCTAAAGGGCTGCAGCAGTGTACCGTGGTAATGGATGCGCATGGTGATGTGGTAATTAATAGTTTGTGGTGATTTGTGTCATGGTTAACGGAAACAGGATCGAGCCTCAACTCTTGCACTGAATGACCCAAAGAGGTTTAGAACCCCACGTACACATGAAATATTTCGAACCAACTTATGTTCATTTATTGTCTTGTGTGGTACAGTCTTGACTCTCACTCTGACCTCTATGATTCTATGTATTCCTCTTTCTTCTTGTTCCTCAGGTACCGATACCCACTCTACCGAAAGAGGTCCTACAGACCCCAGTACGACTACGAGGACGAGGTTCTCCTGCCAGAGGTTGAAGAAGAGGTTATGGATTACGATGACTATTACCAAGCACCTTCACTCTTCAGAGAGAGGAACCGCCAGCAACAACAGGAGCGCAATAAGAAAGAGCTTCTTATGGAAGACGACGGGTACTTCACTGATGAATATAATCCTGAGCAGTTGCAGCTGACTCCCAGCCGCGTGCCCTTGAGGAAAAAGGACTACCTCTACCACTTGAACAACATGCCTTACTCTGACCTCGAGCGCCTTAATTACATGTACGAGATGGGAAAGCGCGATTCCGATTTTCTCGATGACCCTCACGACTTCGAAGCACTTGACCAGGCACACGGAGGCCGCAAAACTCTCATGCCTACACCCACAGAGCAATTTTACGATGCAATTGACTCAATAAGGAAAAAGAAAGCCATGTATGGCGGCAGCTCCTCCTCATATGACATGGATGACTCTTCAGACCATCTCCAGAAGCTGAAGAACTTTTTGACATCTGCTGCAGGGAGATACTGGAGGGTACGAGACGCCCAGGAGATGGCCGCCAGGGACCCCATGATCAGGAAGAAGAGAGACACTGGCGCCACCCCCACCACCACCACTCCACTGGCTACTACGACAAACTCAAGCAATACATCCTCGCCTCAGGCTAAACCAACCACCACAGTCTCCACCCATTATCAGGCTCAGCTGGCTACCGACCGCAAGAAGAGAGCCTTCAGCGACTACTTCAGGTGGGAGAAGAGAGGAGAAGATCCTAAGGACCTGGATGACTTCCTGACGCGGGAGTATTTCAAGAGCATCGCGCGTTCAGTGGGCCAGAAGAAGAAGAGAATGGCTTACGCTCAGTTCGAGGCTGACAAACGATCTTCAGGCATCGAGGAGTTTCTCGAGAACCCGTCCATGCTGCAGTACATGCAGGCAAAACTTAAAGGTGAGGCTTCAGGTGCAACGTTAGAATTCGTCAATGTGTAAGTGTATTCACCGTCGTGGTATATGGGTGTGTTCTTCGTAGTTGTGCGTGTGTATAGGAGTAACTCCATAGGTTGCGTGTAGACGAACGAATTAATGGGTGAGTATTCCTCAGAACCTCCACCTGATTATCCTCCACTCTCGATACTCCATGATTCGCCCTTAATTCCTTTTGTCTCCTTTTCCCTTTTCCTCCCTTCATTCCATCTTCGTTCCATCATCTCCACCTTCCTTAAATCACTTGCTTCACGTCTCAGGACGAGGCTCCAGAATTTGCGGTGTCTTGTTGCTTCTAAAAAAAAAAAAAATTACCTTCCAGAAAAATGAGATTAATAGCAACCGTGTCTTGTCTTCATCTCCCCCTCCCGGCCCCGTCAACACCCCCACCCCTGCCCCATCAACACCCCCACCCCCGCCCCATCAACACCCCTCCCCCTCCCCATCAACACCCCTACTCCCGCCCCGTCAACACCCCAACCTCTCCTTCACTTTCCTAATCTTGCTTAAGCAATCCTGGCTCTTACCCCGATCTTCAAGCCACCCCTAACCCCCCACCCCCAACCCCCAACCCCCCACCCCCAACCCCCCACACCCAATTACCCTAATGAAGCAAAGATCAATTACATTGTCCCCTCCAAAATTTCATACACAAGTATGAGCCGATACCCTGGACGATATTCCACCTTCATACGTCACACTAATGAACCTCAAACACCTCTATCTATATTAACATCTATATTAACATCTATATTAACATCTATATTAACTCAGTAAAACAGTGCGAATCAATGAAGAAGAAAACATAAGCTTAATAGAAGTGAGGAATGACTGACTGAGGATCGAGCCTTCAAACGCTCCTTGCACTGAACGACCCACACGGCTCTAGAAGAATTATTGAAAATAGTATAAAAGACCGAAAAGTTGAAGATTAAGACACATGTGCAACAGTTGGGTATCTTTATTGATGAAATGTTTCGCTTACACAGTAGACTTCTTCAGTCAAATACTAAGGCAGAGGCATTAATGAAATAACGATGGTGTAATCAGTCCCTCATCCTTGGAGAAAAAGTGGTGGTTAGTCCCTCAGCTGAGGGACTGTCACCAGTCACACAGTGCTGTCACCAGTCACACTGTGCTGTCACCAGTCACACTGTGCTGTCACCACTCACACAGTGCTGTCACCAGTCACACAGTGCTGTCACCAGTCACACAGTGCTGTCACCAGTCACACAGTGCTGTCACCAGTCACACTGTGCTGTCACCAGTCACACTGCGCTGTCACCAGTCACACTGTGCTGTCACCAGCCACACTGTGCTGTCACCAGTCACACAGTGCTGTCACCAGTCACACTGTGCTGTCACCAGTCACACTGTGCTGTCACCAGTCACACAGTGCTGTCACCAGTCACACTGTGCTGTCACCAGTAGCACAGTGCTGTCACCAGTCACACTGTGCTGTCACCAGTCACACAGTGCTGTCACCAGTCACACTGTGCTGTCACCAGTCACACTGTGCTGTCACCAGTAGCATAGTGCTGTCACCAGTCACACAGTGCTGTCATCAGTCACACAGTACTGTCATCAGTCACACAGTGCTGTCATCAGTCACACAGTGCTGTCATCAGTCACACAGTGCTGTCATCAGTCACACTGTGCTGTCACCAGTCACACTGTGCTGTCTTCAGCCAGAGGACACAGAAGACTAGTGGACATAGAAGACACAGAAGACAAGAGGACACAGAGGACAAGAACACACAGAGGACACAGAGGTCAAGAAGACACAGAGGACAAGAGGGCACAAGAGGACACAGAGGACAATAGGACACAGAGGACAAAGAGGCACGAGAGGACACAAAGGACAAGTGGACACAGAGGACAAGAGGACAGAGGACAAGAAGACACAGAGGACAAGAGGACAAAAGGCCACAAGAGAATACTGGGGACAGAGGACAAAAGGACACAAGAGGACACTGAGGACAGAGGACACAGAGGACATAGAGAACAAGAGGACATCGAGGACAAGAGGGCACAAGAGGACACAGAGGACAAGATGACACAGAGAACAAAAAGGCACAGAGGACAAGAGGACACAATGGCCTCCACAAATGGACTCTGCACTGTCATCATATAAAGTGCCTTTTACGTGCATTGTGTGTCTTCCTTCACTACCTACTTACATTCCTACTTTTCTCCTCCCCCCCTTTCCACCCCCACCTATCCACTCCCCCTATCCACCTCCTCCTCTTCCCCATCCTCCTATTATCTTCTCCTTCCCTCTCACTCCGCCTCTCCCCGTTTATCTTATTTCCATCTTCATAGTCTTATTCTATCTTCCTCTTCTTGTTTCTCCTTATAACCATAATTATCATTCTTATCTCTTCCCTCTTCTCTCCCTCCCCTCCCCCCTCCCTCATCATAATTATCACTATTCTCCTCTTCACTCCTTCTCTACCCTCCGAGACTCTTCTCTCACCTTCCACTCAACATACATAAGAAGTGCCTTAAGGAAAGCGAACAAAGACTTTGAAAGCGCTATTCACCACACACGCAAGACCAGTCTTTCCGCAGTGCCTGAGTCTTCTTTGAAGCCGAGACCCAGTCCTCGAGGTTCCACCACCAGTGTTGAACCGGGAATCAAACAAAGCCAATATTGAATTTGGCGATGTTGACGACAGTCGGATTAATTATTTTCATTGCTTTTGATGGTAATATCTGATCAGCACTGAGTAACACTGAGGAACTTGCAGATACACTGCAACACTGATTTAATATTCTCTACGATATCTAACCGGTTTAGAGATGCTTTATCTAGCTGAATAAACCAGAGGTACTGACAGCAGTGACTGGAAGTAGAAACACTGGCAATACTAATTAAACCAGACATACTCTCCAACACTGATTAAACCAGATATATTCCATAACTCTGACTGGGCAAAATATATTTTTATAACTCTGACTAGACCAGATATATTCCACATGTTGATTAAAAAAAACAGCAGCAGAAAGTAATTAAAAAAAATCATAGAATTTTCACATATATCACATTTATCATAAATATTACCTGACACCGATACCAAACTCAACATTAAAAAAAAAAACTAAAAAAAATCCGATGACCTGAATTTTCAGTGTAACTAAAATTATTTCAATGATATATAAAAAGGGGAAAATTCGAGGCTCGTTATCTCTTTTTTTTTTGTTAAAGTCAAATTAATTTGTAAATTCCCGTATAGATGTTATATTGATATTGGGGAAGACTGACAGATTGTGACCAACTTTGTTGTATTAACCACAACGACCCTGGTTGTGGTTAGGTTAGGTTAGGTTAAGTTAAGTTAGGTTAAGTTAGGTTAGGTTAGGTTAGGTTTGTCAGGAAACAGGACAAGTATTTCCTGACGCGGGTGTTAGTCATATAATGACCCACAGCTGGAGCTTTTGGCCATCTGATCGAGGCCTTCCACTGGCTTACCCCTCCACCCCTTTAAAAATTAAGGTTATAATTGCAAGCACTGGACAGTGAACTTGTCAGAATAATGCGCCACATGTATGTACTACACCCAAGACTCTGAGAGCAAACTACGCACTTGCCAATATATAAACAAGACAACACTACACAAACACAAACATATGAGTCTACCAACCCTGTGCTAAATGTCACAGTGATGGAATGGTAAAATTTATTGTAGCGTGGGCGTGTAGACGAGAGACCAGCACACACACACACACACACACACACACACACACACACACACATACATACACACACACATACACACACACATCAACATCAGTATCAAAGCAATCTGTCAAACGTAGTGGAGGAAACAAAATGTTGTACAGTGTTTCAAACATTCTGCTAGTTGGAGAGTTAATTGGGTTTATAGCCAATCGACATTACAAGGGTCATTAAGGGTGAACGTAGCCTATACACCACCAGTCAAGCATACTTACCAAGCAATGTATATATATATATATATATATATATATATATATATATATATATATATATATATATATATATATATATACATATATATATATATATACATATATATATATATATATATATATATATATATATATATATATATATATATATATATATATATATATATAGAATTCAGAATACACACACACACACACACACACACACACACAGGGGCCAGGAGCTGAGTATCGACCCCTGCAACCACAATTAGGTGAGTACACACACACACACACACACACCACACACACACACACACACACACACACACATAGACACACACACAGACACACACACAGACACACTCACACACACACACCAGGGCAGAGTGACTGAAAGAACACATTTACCATCATTTATTCAATAGCTGTCTTGCCAGAAAAGTCCAATATCAAGAACAACTCGCCTTTATTATGAGTCACACCAATGGTTTCAAGTTGGAAAAAATTAGATTTAGAAAGGATATAAGAAAGCATTGGTTTAGTAATATAGTTGTGGATGAGTGGAACAAATTCTGGAATAACGTCATTGAAGCGAAAACCTTGTGCAGCTTTAAAAATAGGTCAGACAATTGCATGAATGAGTGTGGGTGGTGTGACTTGGGCTTGCCTAGCATGGGCCAGTAGGCCTGCAGCAGTGCTCCTTCCTTCTTTACGTTATTATGGCTACTGGTAGCGGTCTCTGCTTGTGGTAAGTAACTTGTATATTTAAGATTTGTAAGCAATTACCATCAATCACTCACAACTTCACACTTCTTGTTGATAAAACGAGAATTATGAGGTAAAAAAAAAACGTTCAGGAGATGCCATTCAGAGTGTTAATGTGTGCTGGAGCTATTTCTCCCTCTCACACATCTCTCTAATTACACAGAGGCTGAGGAGGAGGTGGCGGAGGAGGCTGAGGCTGAGATAGCCGGGAGTGGAGACACAGAGAACCTCCTCACCAACATCGTAGTGCGTCTCGACGCTCTGGAGCGCATGCGCGAAGCTCTCAGTCAGCTGGAGGAACTACAGCAGCAGGATGACCTTCATGTTCAGAGGAAGAGGGTGAGTCCTGGCCAGGAGGAAGCTGTGAGGAGAGAGAGAGAGAGAGAGAGAGAGAGAGAGAGAAAGAGAGAGAGAGAGAGAGAGAGAGAGAGGAGGGTTATGGGTCGAATAATGGATATTATATAGACTAACTGTCCTATTCCAGAAAAAGAGGCCTCCCCTATATCACATTTGATCTTCAACTCACTCCACAGGCAGAAGCAGTGCCAGCAGCACACAAACAGCAACAGCAGCAGGCGACACAGAGGAGAGCCCAACAGCAGCAGCAGCAGCAGCAGCAGCAGGCGACGCTGCAGAAAGCCCAGCAGCAGGAGACTAAGAGGAGAAAGAAATCGGAGGGTAACATGAACCTGGGGAGACTACGACGGGATAAAGACGATCTTCATCAACTTTTTATGGGTAACACCAGGGAAGGTGAGCTCCTTCTGAAGTCATCTTTGTAAGTTTTTCAACGTAGCTTTACAGAAGATCAGGAATTACTGAAGGGGTAGCTTTAGTTTGTTTTGGCACCATTACACTAAAGACCCATAGTAAACCTTGTGAAAAAAAATGCATTTCATACATATACAGAAAAATTGAATTTCCTCAAACTAACTACGACATTTTACTAATTATTCTAAAGCTGTTGAATCCATGAAGCGTTAGCGAGAAAAGGAACAACAGAAGGCTGTCTGTTTTAGTTTTCGTTGAAGGAAGAAGCTTATGAATCCCGTGCCTTTTTTTGATACAATAACGAGACTCCATACACTGCATTCACACTACAAACAACCCACCAACAGAGACCTTAAATACTTCTCACACTGCAACAACAAAACTAATTAGAAGAAGACTTAGATATCTACGCCTGGTATTCCTATCCAAGTCCACTAACCCCACCCAAACCCCCCATTAGCCAAGCTTACTCCCACTAATTTCGACCACGGTCACTAACGTCACTCACGTCCACAGACTGTCCGGTGCTAGAAAGGATCCTGCTGAACTGTGTGGGTGTGAGTGATGTGGTGGGTGACCAGGAACGCTCCTTCCTTGACTCCTGTCTGCGTCACGAAGTGTGTTATATGTGTGTAAGTATCCTATGTGTCTGTGTAGTATTCGTATATGTATTTTATTGTGCGTAAAATATTGCAGTGGTTATCATGACAATTATGTATGTGATGTTTATGGTGACGATGACGAGTACAATGACAATAATAATGTATAACAGTCAGCATCCTCATTCTTCATTATTATCAGTACTGTATCAACATTTAGCATGACTATTATATTTGCACTGACACATTGCCTTACTCTCTCCACCTCATATTTACCTGACACAGGAGAAACTTTGCACCTCACTACCTCCAGTACCACTTCTTAATCCTTACATCTCCATATTTCCGTTATAAGGAGATTCTTCTCTTTGTCACTCCCTCTCTTCCTGGCACAGGGATCTCTTTCTCTCCTCTCCCTACCACTTCACCACCTCCTCCTCATCTCTCTCTCAATCCCTGCTGCAGGGTGCTGGCCTAGCAGTATCACAACACGAATGCGATGCAGTTCTCTCCTCGTCGCTGGAAAAGGCGTGCTCCCGCAACCTGGACTGCTTGAGCGCTGCAGGAAGCACCTTCAACCTGCTGAGCGACGCTGGACGCTACGACCAAGACGGTACCTGCACCCACGACCCCTGTGTCAGACAGTTCCTCGAGTCCCGCTGAGCTGTCTCGCTCCTTCACTGATGGGGACAGGATACATCGAGGCTGCGGAGCTTTCGTTTTAAATTAAGACTTTGTTTTCAGGTGTGTGTGTATGTGTGAGATATAGAAAGGGCTTTCTTTGTTGGTTTTTGTGGTGGATTTGATGATTTAAATTGTGACCCGGTGTGTTTGTGATGGTAAAGGTAGTGAGGTATGTTGGATTTTGGATAGCTATTGCCAGTGATCACTTTCTGTGATGAACAGAGAAAAGTTGTATTTAGAGAATTGGTATAGGAAGTAGTATTTATGCATTATAGTCTCTTAACTCTGCAGGAATGAAAAATGGTGATGGCTGATATGCAAAGCTTCATTTGGGATTTTTTATTTTCATTTGGCTTTATGGAACATTCTGGAGGGAGATAGAGGTATGAGCCGTATCAAATTTTAGATTTGTTTTAGCAATGAAGCTGAACTGGGTATCCGCTTAAGTCACTGGAAGCTTCATGTAGCTAATATTAATATACACGAAGCTCTATCTCCACGTGGGTCATTGAGAGGAAAATATGTTGGAGAGTCGAACCTTGTCCAGGTACTGAGGGTGTAAACAGGCGGAACATATTTTCATGAATGACCAAATTTTCACCCAGTGAAACAGCGATTTATGTTTCAGTTTCTCAGGCACAGAGCTTTAACTCAGTTAATGGATAGTTTAGGTTTAGAAAAAGAGAACTGCATCAATGGTTGATTTAATAGGGACAGATACGAGATAAACAAAGAATGTATGAGGTGCTTGTGTTAGTAAGTCTCCAGTCTCTCTCTCAGAAACAAAGGGAATGCACTTCGCATTTATATTTAGGAAGTGAAATACATACGTTTCCCCTACAAGTGAGTGTAAGAGACAATATTCATGTGTCTATAAGACTTTGTGCATTATAATCCAGATATTTCAGAATATAGGCTTGCTGTTTACCCAAGCCTTATTATCAGAGCCAATAGCCGACGTATTCTGAAAAGCACGATCAATTATCTGCTACTCGAAGACTATTATCCATGTTTATGTCGCTGTGTGTCTGTCATTTCCTCCCCTCTGTCTGTGAAGATTATTGTATGGAATAAATCAATAAATTTCAGAGCCATGCGAAATATTTATATGGGTAACGAAACCCTGAAATAGGCGACACTGTTGTCACATTTGTTTTGTGCTAACGAGAGGCTTCTGGGTAGGTTTGAGGAAGCTCTTGTGACAGTAATCCATCTATATTTCTTACTTTTTTAAGTCGAGTTTATTTACTTAGAGAAAACGTGAGGTGTTCTCGGATTTGTAGACAGACTAAACAAGAGTTACAGTCTGTAGTGGATAATACAGCACAACACGTGTATATCACTGTATCTCACTGTAATTATTATTATCCGAGTCTGCTGAAAAAAATGTTAATGTAACTAATACAGAAAAATGCTAATTTCTTTATGAATACATAAAATTTATTTCTCGGAAATAAAAAAGTGTATAATTTATCATTATTTACCAGTCATTTCAGACATTAAATTAGGCACAATATATATATATATATATATATATATATATATAATATATATATATATATTATATATATATATATATATATATATATATATATATATATATATATTATATATATATATACATATTTATATATATATATATATATATATATATATATATATATATATATATATATATATATATATATATATATATATATATATATATATATATATTATATATATATATATTAAATATATATATATGAAAATAAATTATATGTATATTTTGAGAATAAAAATCTCTCGTTAAAACCGAGAAAGTAACCAAAAATATTAATGAATAAAAAATATAATTCATGTAATATGCACACAATTTTTTTTATTTTTAATTAAGAGGCAAAAAATTACATTCCAATTTGAACCTATTTTTTTTAAGTTAAAAAGACAATTTAATTCTGAAAATAAAGTTGTCTTGAAGACGTCTTCTTTATGTACGTGTTGCCTCTCTTCAGTATTATTAACAAATAAAGATGTAAGATGTTGATGGAGTTACTTACTATATCCTGGTCTCTTTATTATGAGGTGCTATCTTTATTATGAGGTACTATATTATGAGGTACTATCTTTATTATGAGGTACTATCTTTATTATGAGGTACTATCTTTATTATGAGGAGCTATCTTTATTATGAGGTACTATCTTTATTATGAGGTACTATCTTATGAGGTGCTATCTTTATTATGAGGTACTATCTTTATTATGAGGTACTATCTTTATTATGAGGTACTATCTTATGAGGTGCTATCTTTATTATGAGGTACTATCTTATGATGTGCTATCTTTATTATGAGGTACTATCTTTATTATGAGGTACTATCTTTATTATGAGGTACTATCTTATGAGGTGCTATCTTTATTATGAGGTACTATCTTTATTATGAGGTACTATCTTTATTATGAGGTACTATATTATGAGGCGCTATCTTTACTATGAGGTGCTATCTTTATTATGAGGTACTATCTTTATTATGAGGTACTATCTTTATTATGAGGTACTATCTTTATTATGAGGTACTATCTTATGAGGCGCTATCTTTACTATGAGGTGCTATCTTTACTATGAGGTACTATATTATGAGGTGCTATCTTTATTATGAGGTATTATCTTTATTATGAGGTACTATCTTTATTATGAGGTACTATCTTTATTATGAGGTACTATCTTTATTATGAGGTACTATCTTATGAGGTGCTATCTTTACTATGAAGTGCTATCTTTATTATGAGGTGCTATCTTTATTATGAGGTGCTATCTTTATTATGAGGTACTATCTTTATTATGAGGTACTATCTTATGAGGTGCTATCTTTACTATGAGGTGCTATCTTTATTATGAGGTGCTATCTTTATTATGAGGTACTGTATTTATTATGAGGTGCTATCTTTATTATGAGGTACTATATTATGAGGTGCTATCTTTATCTTTATTATGAGGTGCTATCTTTACTATGAGGTACTATCTTTATTATGAGGTGCTATCTTTACTATGAGGTGCTGTCTTTATTATGAGGTACTATATTATGAGGTGCTATCTTTATCTTTATTATGAGGTGCTATCTTTATTATGAGGTACTATCTTTATTATGAGGTGCTATCTTTATTATGAGGTGCTATCTTTATTATCAGGTGCTATCTTTATTATGAGGTGCTATCTTCATTATGAGGTGCTATCTTTATTATGATGTACTACCTTATGAGGTGTTATCTTTACTATGAGGTGCTATCTTTACTATGAGGTACTATATTATGAGGTGCTATCTTTATTATGAGGTACTATCTTTATTATGAGGTACTATCTTATGAGGCGCTATCTTTACTATGAGGTGCTATCTTTACTATAAGGTGCTATCTTTATTATGAGGTGCTATCTTTACTATGAGGTGCTATCTTTATTATGAGTTACTATCTTTATTATGAGGTACTATCTTTATGATATGCTATCTTTATTATGAGGTACTATCTTTATTATGAGATGCTCTCTTTATTATGAGGTACTATCTTTATTATGAGGTGCTAACTTTATTATGAGGTGCTATCTTTATCATGAGGTGCTATCTTTATTATGAGGTGCTATCTTTATTATGAGGTGCTATCTTTATTATGAGGTACTATCTTTATTATGAGGTGCTATCTTTATTATGATGTGCTATCTTTATTATGAGGTGCTATCTTTACTATGATGTGCTATCTTTATTATGAGGTGCTATCTTTATTATGAGGCGCTATCTTTATTATGAGGCACTATCTTATGAGGTGCTATCTTTACTATGAGGTGCTATCTTTATAACGAGGTGCTATCTTTATTCATGATATTAATGTGATGTATTATTTACGAGACGTGAGGCGTTGCGAAAACCATGAAGACGAGCACGTCCTTGGTACTTGGAGACAGAAGCGTCCTTGGTACCTGGAGAAAGACACACGTCCTTGGTACCTGCAGACAGACACACGTCCTTGGTACCTGGAGGCAGACACACGTCCTTGGTATCTGGAGACAGACACACGTCCTTGGTAACTGGAGACAGACACACGTCCATGGTACCTGGAGACAGACACACGTCCTTGGTACCTGGAGACAGAAGCATTCTTGGTACCTGGAGACAGACACACGTTCTTGGTACCTGGAGACAGACACACGTCCTTTGTACCTGGAGACAGACACACGTCCTTGGTACCTGGAGACAGACACACGTCCTTGGTACCTGGAGACAGAAGCGTCCTTGGTACCTGGAGACAGACACACGCTCTTGGTACCTGGAGACAGACACACGTCCTTGGTACCTGGATACAGACACACCTCCTTGGTACCTGGAGACAGACACACGTCCTTGGTACCTGGAGGCAGACACAAGTCCTTGGTACCTGGACACAGACACACGTCCTTGATACCTGGAGACAGAAACACGTCCTTGGCACCTGGAGACAAACACACGTGCTTGGTACCTGGAGACAGACACACGTCCTTGGTACCTGGAGACAGACAAACGTCTTTATTACCTAGAGACAGACACACGTCCTTGGTACCTGTAGGCAGACACACGTCCTTGGCACCTGGAGACAGACACACGTCCTTGGCACCTGGAGACAGACACACGTCCTTGGTACGTGGAGACAGACACACGTCATTTGTACCTGGACACAGACACACGTCCTTGATACCTGGAGACAGAAGCGTCCTTGGTACCTGGAGACAGACACACGCTCTTGGTACCTGGAGACAGACACACGTCCTTGGTACCTGGAGACAGACACACGTCCTTGGTACCTGGAGACAGACACACGTCCTTGGTACCTGGAGACAGACACACGTCATTGGTACCTGGACACAGACACACGTCCTTGATACCTGGAGACAGAAACACGTCCTTGGCACCTGGAGACAAACACACGTGCTTGGTACCTGGAGACAGACACACGTCCTTGGTACCTGGAGAGAGACACGCGTCCTTGGTACCTGAAGACAGACACACGTCCTTGGTACCTGGAGACAGACACACGTCTTTGGCACCTGGAGACAGACACACGTCCTTGGTACCTGATGACAGAAGCGTCCTTGGTACCTGGAGACAGACACACGTCCTTGGTACCTATAGGCAGACACAAGTCCTTGGTACCTGGAGGCAGACACAAGTCCTTGGTACCTGGATACAGACACACGTCCTTGGTACCTGGAGACAGACACACGTCCTTGGTACCTGGAGACAGACACACGTCCTTGGTACCTGGAGGCAGACACAAGTCCTTGGTACCTGGAGACAGACACACGTCATTGGTACCTGGAAACAGACACACGTCATTATTACCTGGAGACAGACACACGTCCTTGGTACCTGTAGGCAGACACACGTCCATGGCACCTGGAGGCAGACACACGTCCTTGGCACCTGGATACAGGCACACGTCCTTGGTACCTGGAGACAGACACACGTCTTTGGTACCTGGAGGCAGACACAAGTCCTTGGTACCTGGATACAGACACACGTCCTTGGTACCTGGAGACAGACACACGTCATTGGTACCTGGAAACAGACACACGTCATTATTACCTGGAGACAGACACACGTCCTTGGTACCTGTAGGCAGACACACGTCCATGGCACCTGGAGGCAGACACACGTCCTTGGCACCTGGATACAGGCACACGTCCTTGGTACCTGGAGACAGACACACGTCCTTGGTACCTGGAGACAGACACACGTCCTTGGTACCTGGAGACAGACACACGTGCTTGGTACCTGGAGACAGACACACGTCCTTGGTACCTGGAGACAGACACACGTCCTTGATACCTGTAGACAGACACACGTCCTTGGCACCTGGAGACAGACACACGTGCTTGGTACCTGGAGACAAACACGCGTCCTTGGTACCTGGAGACAGACACACATCCTTGGCACCTGGAGACAAACACACGTCCTTGGTACCTGGAGAGAGACACGCGTCCTTGGTACCTGAAGACAGACACACGACTTTGGAACCTGGAGACAGACACACGTCCTTGGCACCTGGAGACAGACACACGCCCTTGGTACCTGGAGACAGACACACGTCGTTGGCACCTGGAGACAGACACACGTCCGTGGCACCTGGAGACAGAAGCGTCCTTGGTACCTGGAGACAGACACACGTCCTTGGTACCTGAAGACAGACACATGTCCTTGGTATCTGGAGGCACACACACGTCCTTGGTACCT